AGGCTGGCCTCGAACTCACAGAGATCCGCCTGCCTCTGCCTCCCGAGTGCTGGGATTAAAGGCATGCGCCACCACCGCCCGGCGTATTAGTTTCTTTTCTATTGCTATGATATAAAACATCAAAACCAAAGCAACTAGTAGAAAGAAGGATTTACTTCTTTGGTGCTTACAGTTTCAGAGGGTTAGAGCAGAGGTGGCAGGTAGCTGGAGCAGCAGCTGAGAATTCACATTTTGATCTGCAAGCAGGAGGCATAGAGCGCACTGGGAATGGCTGGAGTATTTTTGAAACCTCTTAGTCCACCCCCAGTGACGCACATCCTCCCAGAAGGTTGTCTTAGTTAGGGTTTCTATTGCTGTGAAGAGACACCATGAACATGGCAACTCTTATAAGAAAAACATTTCATTGGGGCTGGCTTACAGTTTCAGAGGTTCAGTCGATTATCATCATAGTAGGACATGGCAGACACGGTGCTGGAGAAGGAGCTGAGAGGTCTATCTATACCTTGGTCTGCAGGCAGCAGGAGACTGTGTGACACACTGTCGTAGCTTGAGCATAAATGACCTCAAAGTCAGCCTCTACAGTGACATAGTCCCTTCAACAAGGCCACACCTCCTAATAGTGCCACTCCCCTTAATAGTGCTGCTCCCTATGGGCCAAGCATTCAAACACATGAGTCTGTGGGGGCCATTCCTATTCAAACCACGACAAAGGGCAAACCTCTCAATCCTTCCCAAATGGTTCTACCAACTGGGGACCAAGTATTTGCATGAGCCTTTGTGGGCATTCTCATTCAAACCATAGTTGGTTAATAGTTGGCTTAAAATTTAGAACTTGAAAATATAAAAAAGAATAAACTACTCTTTCTGTTATAGGTAAAGGGAGAAGATGAGGAAGACAGCAACCTAGAAGTACGAGAAACCAAAATTAAGGGGAAAAGGTAAGCAAACAGACTGGGAGGCGTTTCTAAGGTGGGCTGACCAGAAATTTGGGATAGCATAGGTAGAGCTATCAGGAAACGCCTTGTTGTCTGTCTTAGAGTTGGCTACATGGCAGTGCTGTGAACAGAGGCGGGGCTGCTGGGATGGTACTAGTATGTTGAATTGACTGGGCTGTCAGCGGAGCTGATGAAGAAACATGAACACTGCTTACTCAGGACCAGCGGTAAAAGGAAAAGCAGCAGATCTGATGCTTGAAGCCAAGAAGGGGATGAAGATCTCTATCTTGGAGTATTGTCTTAGTTGTGAACTTTACATAGCAATATGATGTATAATGCTGTGAGATCTAAATGAAGTCATCTAATCATTGAGGATAATGTTCTAATCATTGAGGTTGAATTCCATGGGAACATGTTTAAAAGCCTTCAAGTTTTGCCAGGTGGTAGTGGCGGCGGCACACGTCTTTAATCCCAGCACTCGGGAGGCAGAGCCAGGCCGATCTCTGTGAGTTCAAGGCCAGCCTGGTCTACAGAGCAAGATCCAGGACAGGCACCAAAACTACACCGAGAAACCCTGTTGCAAACAAACAAACAAACAAAAAAAGCCTTCAAGTTTTTACTAATGACTTACTAGGTCTAACAAAAATTCATTTCATGGCTTAGGAAATTCAGATTCATTAGTTTACAGGCTGAGTCTATTTATTCACTTGCATGCATGCCACAGCTGGTGTGTAGAGGTCAGAGGACAGCTTGCAGGAGTGGTTCTCTACTACCATGTGAGTCTTGGGGATTGAACTCAGGTAGTCAGACTTGACAGCAGGCCCTTTATCCACTGATACATCTCCTTGCCCATAAGCATTTTTTTAACGAAAATGTTTTTGAAGACAGTGTGGAGGCCCACAGAGGTTTCCTAGTGAGTTCTGAGCTTGCTTTACCCAGCAGGGCTGCATTAGAGGATTGCTTGACCATGTGCATGGTTACTAGGTGATTGGAAGGGTCTAAGCTAGGGCGAGGTCTTTGCTCCACCCCTTGGCATTCCTATAAATAACCCTTTGGAAGAGACAGAAGGGGCTGGTGGATAATGATCCAGGCCCTCCCGAGGCTATCCTGTGTTTCTATCTGTTTCTCTCCCCTCTGTCCTTCTATCTAAATATTTCTCACTTCACCGTCCTTGAGTACCCTGAGGGGAAAATGTGGAAGCGGGTCTCCCACAAAACAGGATCTCTTTTTAAAATTATTTAGTTGATTTGTGTGTGGGTGTGGGTGTGGGTGTATGTATGTATGGGTGTTTTGCTTATATATGTGTGTGTGTGTGTGTGTGTGTGTGTGTGTGCGCGCGCGCGCACCACTTGCATGCAGTGCCCCTCGGAGGCCAGAAGAGGGTGTCATATCCCCTTAGAACTGGAGTTAGAGTTGTGAGCTGCTATGTGGGTGCTGGGAACCAAATCTGGCTCCTCTGAAAGAACAGCCATTCTTGTACTGTTGAGCCATCTCTCCGGTCACCCATTTTCTTGAGACAGTCTCATGTAGCTCCAGCTGACCTCAAACTCTCTGTCACTAAGGATGACCTTGAATTCTTACACTTTCTGTCTTCATCTTTCAAGTGTTGGGATTAGAGGTCTGTCACTTGACCTGTCTCTGGTAGTTTTTACATTTTTGCTATTATAAACAAACCTGGGATGGACATCTGGACACCCATCTTTAAAGGCTTAAGTTAAGATATTAAATGTGATAGCTTTTATCTTGAGTGTGGAATTTACTATGACTTTGAAATATTAGCTATTTTCAGCATCTTTAGTCTCTTTTGTTTTTTCTATAACTTGCTCTGTAGACTAGACTGGCCTAGACCTCACAGAGATACACCTGCCTCTGCCTCCTGAGTGCTGGGATTAAAGTGTGCTCCACCATGCCTGGTCAGTGTCTTTAATTTTAATTCTCCTGCTTTCTTCCTTCAGTGGGAGATTTTTCACGGTCAAGCTTCCAGGTGCTCTTGATCCTGGGTCCAAGATCTCAGTCGTTGTGGAAACTGTCTACACCCACGTGCTTCATCCATATCCGACCCAGATAACTCAGTCCGAGAAACAGTTTGTGGTATTTGAGGGCAACCATTATTTCTACTCTCCCTATCCAACAAAGACCCAGACCATGCGAGTCAAACTTGCCTCCAGAAATGTGGAAAGCTACACGAAGCTGGGTAACCCCTCACGATCTGAGGACGTCTTGGATTATGGACCTTTCAAAGACATCCCTGCTTATAGTCAGGTAGGTTTCACAGACCATCACTGCCAGGCTTGGATGGTATGTGCTGGGTGGCATCCTGAAATTGTTCTGAACCTATCTTGAAGTAACTCGTCGTCCCAGTAACTTCTTTTTGAGAACTGAGTTCAGAGGTTGGAAAGTGGGCATCATGGGAGAAGGCAGTGAGGCATTCTGGGTAGGTTAGTGATGGACAAGGAGAGAAACTGGGGTGACTGTGGTAATAACCTGACCCAGAGGCTAAGGGCCTCAGGATTGGTACTTTTGGGAGAGAAATTCATGATAAAAATTTTTGTTGTGGGGCAAGGTGGTGTACACCTTCAGTCCCAGCACTCAGGAGAATCTCTTGAGTCTGAGGCCAGCCTGGTCTACATAGAGTTCCAGGTTAACCAGAGATACACAGTGAGATCCTGTGTCAAAAAGAAAACAACTGTCCCAGCAGTTAAGAGCACTGACCGATCTTCCAGAGGACCTGAGCTTACTTCCCAGACCCACATGGCGGCTCACAGCTGTCTGTAGCTAGGCTTGTGGGATCCAGCGCCCTTTTCTGGCCTCCCTGGGGACTGCATGCCTGTGTGACGCACAGACACACATGCTGGCAAAATAAAATGTAAAACTGTTGTGGAAAATTTTAAAACTGTCAAAGTGGAGACGTTGGTATGAAGACCTGCTTGCTTGTCACGGGGCTTCCTGTCCTGTTAGCAGTGCTCCCTGCCACTTCTTCTCTTTTGACTGTTTATTCTATGTCTGTGTGGGAGTGGCTAGTGTCGCTTCTACCTTCACCGTGTGGTTTTGGTGACTGAACTCAGGTCGTTGTCAGGTGTGATGACAAGTAGCTTGACCATCTCACCGCCTCCCTTTTTTCCCATTGCATTTGATCTCTCTTTTCTTGAGCTGCTTTTTTCCTTTCTCTTCTACCTTCCCTTTTCTTCTTCCTTTTTAAACTTAGGAAAATATTTCATTATTCTTTGAGAATTTCATGTAATATATTTTGGTCCTATTCACCTTCTGCCCCTCCCAGATCCATCCTTACCTTCCTCTTCCTTAGCTTCACATCATCCCCCCCCCCCCCCCCAGTAACCCATTGACTCCAGTTTGTGTTGTCTGTATATGTGTTTGGGTGTGGGGCCATCCTCTGGAGAGTGGTCACCCTACCCTGAGCAATGGCCGGAGCTCTTCATTTCAGGGTAGGAGCTCATGCACTCCTTCCCACTCCGTGTCAGTGCTGACTGACTGTGCAGCTGCTGTGAGGTGATGAGTGCAGTGGTCCTGTCAGGTCTACATGTCTAGAAGACACTGTTTTGGTCTGGTCTTACAGTCTTGACACCCCCTTCTATGATGGTCTTCTTTTCCCTTCCTTTTTTTTCCTTTATAATTTTTTTGGCGGGAGGTAAGGTTTTTTGATATAGGGTCTTGTGTAGCTCTGCCTAGCCTGGCACTTGATATGTAGATTGGTCTTGCTTCCTCAGATTTGTGTCAGTCCTGCTTCAGCTCACACTCTCACTTTTCTTGGCAAGTTGGGGATTATGCCCAGAACTTCATACACGCTAGATAAGACTCTACCACTGAGCTATAGCACTGGCTCCCTGGAGTTCTCTCTATTCTTGTTTTTTTTGTAACACAGGCTGTTGCTTCAGCCTCTGGAGTACTGGGGCTACAGATGTGTAGCACCATGCTTGGCTAGAGATAAAATATTGATAATCATGTTATATATAGTATTGCATAATTCTTGTGCTTAGCGATAGTATTAATGTAGAGATCATGTTATATATAGTATTGCATAATTCTTGTGCTTAATAACTATATTGTATACTTTTTTGGTAGCCATTTCTGATTGCTGCCTTGGATTATTTGCCAATGTTTGGATGAATGGCTAGGATTTTGTTTTCTTTTGCTTTTTTTCCTGCTTAACACCATAATGTACATTTCTCTGCATATATTCTCAGTAATAGATTTTGGGGCAAGGGACAGACAGGATCTCATGTAGCCTATGGAACTGGCTGTGAAGCTGAGGATGATTCAAAAATCTTGATCCTGCCTTTATCTTCCAAGTCCTGGGATATAGGCATGCATCAGTATGCGTGGCTCAGAAATAGTAGATATATATTTTTAAGATTTGTTATTTTAGGTTGGCGGTGGTGGCCGCACACCTTTAATTTCAGCACTTGGGAGGCAGAAGCAGGTGGATCTCTGTGAGTTTGAGGCCAGCCTGGTCTACACAGAGTGAGTTTCAGGACAGCCAGGGCTACACAGAGAAACCTGTCTTAAAAAAAGAAAAAAAAATTTTTTTTTAAATTGTGGATTGGGGGCTGGGATGTGCACATAAGTGCAGATGTCTCTGGAGGCTAGAGGGGTCAGATCTCTGGAGCTAGAGATGTGAACTGCTAACCAGTAGGGGGCTCTTTAACTGTTGTCCTCTCTGACTCTGAAATAGATTCTACAGTAAAAATTGCAAATCAGAACATGAAATTATAAAAAAAAATTTTGACACTGTGCCTTGGCTGACCTTGAAAATTGTGGCAGTCCTGCCTCAGTTTCCCTAGACAGGTGGCATTGCAGGTGTGAGCTCCCATTCCCAGCTCAAGCAAACGGTTTGAAGCTGGGAATGATGACAGTTGCTTGTAACACCAACATTCAGGAGGCAGAGACAACCGGATTGTTTGAGGCCGGCCAGGCTTCATATTCCTTGTTTCAAAAACAAAAAACACCATGAGCATTTTAAAAATAAAAATAAGTTTTTGTGTGTATGTATGCTTGCATGCTTGCCTGCGTGTGTGTGTGTGTGTGTGTGTGTGTGTGTGTGTGTATTTGAGTCTGAGTGCTTACAAGTGTGTACATTTGGGGTTGAACCCAGGGTCTTAGGTATGCAAAGGATGTGCTTTATCAGTGAGCTGTACCTATGATTTCTGCAGCATGAAGCTGCCATCTTATAGTACTGGCTCTGCATGATGTTCAATAGGATTCTGAGTTGAATCTTAAAAGATGTGGTTAGAAAGTGAGAGAATAAGAGTTTGTAAAATTACAAAATATATCTGCTTATCTTCATAGACTTTGGGAAGGAGAATTTTTCTAACATTCTAATTTTATATTACCTTTCTATAGAATTATGGGCAAGTTCATAAAAGGGCATTAGAATTACTCAGTGACCAGAGAGACCCTCAACCTACTCCTCATTGAACCTAGGTCCTTCATGTGCTGGGCAAGCACCCTGCCATTGATCCATATATATTCCCAACCCCAGAGAGCTCTTTAAATATTTATTTATTTATTTTTTTATTTATTTATTTATTTATTTATTTATTTATTTATTTGTGTGTGTGTGTGATGTGTGTTGGTGTGAGTGTCACAGCACACGTCTGGAGGCCAGAGGACAGCTTTTGGTAGTCTTTTCTCTTCTACCGTGTGGGTCCCAAGTGCAGCAGCAAATGCCCTTACTTGCTGAGCCATCTTTGTGTTCCTACCAGAGACTAAAACAAGGTTAACCTCTGGGAGAACTGGCAGAGACCTTGAGGAAGTATGCAGACACTTGAACTCAGAATATCTGCTCAATGCAGACCTAGTATTGTTACTTATATATATATTTTTTAAGATTTATTTATTATGTATACAGCATGTATGACTGCAGGCCAGAAGAGGGCACCAGATCTCATTACAGATGCTTGTGAACCACCATGTGGTTACTGGGAATTGAACTCAGGACCTCTGGAAGAGTAGTCAGTGCTCTTAACCTCTGAGCCATCTCTCCAGCCCCTGTTGCTTATATTTATCATCTAGAGCAAAGGCTATGGAAACAGTTGGACTTCCACCCACTTTTATTTATTTTGTTTTTTATGTTTTTTGAAATGGAGTTTCTCTGACTGTTCTGGAAATCTCTCTGTAGGCTGATCTCAAACTCCGAGATCTGCCTGCCTCTGTCTCCAAGTGCTGGGGTTAAAAGTGTGTGCCACCACACCTGGCCTTATATAGTTGGACTTTCTTGTTGAACTTTTTTGGACTACCATCTTTCAAATAACATGGAGACTTATTGTTAATTATGCAAGTCTTTAGCTTACTTAAGGTTGTTCCCAACTAGCTCTTATAACTTAAATTAACCTTTTTCTGCCACATGGCTTTTTACCTCTCCTCCATTCTGTGCATCTGACTTTCTCCATGTTGGCATCTCCTGTGTGCCTAGATTCAATCCGACTGAATTCCTCTCTGCCTGGAAGTCTCACCTATTCTCTTTTGCCTAGCTATTGGCCATTCAGCTCTTTATTAAACCAACCAGGTGCCTTAGGCAGGTGACCCAAGACACATGCAGTGTAAACAGATAACCTGCAATAGTCTTATTTATTTACCTATCTATCTATCTGTCTGTCTGTGTATTATTTATTTACCTATCTATCTGTCTGTCTATTTATCTATTATAAGACAGGGTCACTGTTTTCCAGGCTGGTCTTGGAACGCATGGTGATCCTCCCGCCTCCACCTGTTGAGTATTGGGATTACAGGCCTAAGTGACCACAAAAAAAGGTGAGAGTGATGGTGCAGGCCTATAATTCCAGTACTCACAAGTCTGTCAGGAAGATGACGAATTTGAGAGCAAGACCCTTTCTCAAAAACAAAACAAAAAAACCTCTTATCCGTAGGGGCTAGAGAGATGGTTCGGTGGTTAAGAGCGCATGCTACTCTTCCAGAGGACCTGAGTTCATTTCCCAGCACCTATATCTAGTTGCTCACAATCTCCTGTAATGCCAGCTCTAGGAGATCAACACTTTCTGGCCTTTGGTGCCTGTACACATATGGCACACACACAGGCACACACACATAGAAGTAAATCCAAAAAAACACTCCATATATTAGTGCTTGGTAACCATTCTGTGGATGATGCATAGGCCCTTTCTGGTTAATTTCTTTTAAACTAATGTTGATTTCTCTATTGCCAAGGCGGTGAACTGTTCATTTCCTTCCCTTCTAGGATACTTTTAAAGTACACTATGAGAACAACAGCCCTTTCCTGACCATCACCAGTATGACCCGGGTCATCGAGGTTTCTCACTGGGGTAATATTGCTGTGGAGGAGAATGTGGACTTGAAGCATACAGGTGCGGTGCTGAAGGGGCCTTTCTCCCGCTATGATTACCAGAGACAGCCTGACAGTGGCATCTCCTCCATCCGTTCTTTTAAGGTATGAGCGGCCAATTTGGACACGGGGAACTGTGTCTTTATCAGTGTGTTCTTTCTCTTGCTTTTCAGTTTTTTTGGGATTAACTAATGGTGATATTGAGAATCAATGTTAATCAGAAGGATCTTTAAAGAAAAAAGTTCTTGTGTTTATGTGAATGGCATCCTGTCTTTATATAAATAGTGCTTTTCTTTCTTTTTTCTTTCTGCACAGCACAGGTTAGGAACGACCTATGTAACTTAGACTGACCTTGAACTCGATACTCCTGCCTTGGCTTCTAAGTGTTGGGATTTTAGACATGTGCCACTGTGCCTGCCTGGCCCTAGACCAGTGGTTCCGAACCTTCCTAATACTTTAATGACCCTTTAATACAGTTCCTTGTGCTGTGGTGACCCCCAACCATAAAATTATTATTAATAATGTTCATATTTTTTTTTTTTGTTTGTTTTTTTCAAGACAGGGTTTCTCTGCATAGCTTTGGAGGCTGTCCCGGATCTCGCTCTGTAGCCCAGGCTGGCCTTGAACTCACAGAGATTTGCCTAGCTCTGCCTCCCGAGTGCTGGGATTAAAGGTGTGCGCCATCACCACAACAGCCATAAAATTATTTTTGCTACTACTTCATAACTGTAATTTTGCTACTGTTATGAATAGAAATGTAAATATCTGTTTTCTGATGGTTTTAGGTGACTCCAAGTGGGTTGTGACCACAAGTGGGTTATGACCCACGGGTTGAGAACACTGCCCTAGACTGTAGTTGTTTTGTTGTTTAGAAAATTGGAATAGGCCGAGCGATGGTGGCACACCCCTTTAATCCCAGCACTTGGGAGGCAGAGGCAGGCGGATCTTTGTGAGTTCGAGGCCAGCCTGGTCTACAGAGCGAGATCCAGGGGAAAGGTGCAAAGCTACACAGAGAAACCCAGTCTCGAAAAACCAAAAAAGGAAAAAACCATAATACCACTACCTAAACATTCCCTTGTTTTACAGATTTAGTGTGTGTGTGTGTGTGTGTGTGTGTGTGTGTGTGTGTGTGTGTGTGTGTGTGTGTTTTGTGTGAGTGTATGAGCACCTATCTGAAGAGACCAGAAAAGTATTGAATGTCTCAGAGCTGGAGTTACAGACATTTGAGAGCTATCTGACATGGTTGCTGGGATCCAGACTGGGCCTCATGATGGAGCAGCAAATGTTTTTAACTGCTCAGCCATCTTTCCATCTCTGCTGCTTGCTTTTTAAGATTGGGTCTGGTGTAACCAAGGTTGACCTCTAACTTGATCTGTGTCTGAAGATGGCCTTGAGCTCCTTGGTGCTTCCTCTCAAGTGCAGGAGTATACTACCATGTCTTAGGCTATTTTTGTTTTTATGAAGCAGAGTTGGTTTATGAAAAGACTCTAAAACTTATATTTACTAACTTATTGTTGTGTGCTTGTGTGTGATGTGCATGTAATACAGATTTTAAATATGAAGGTAAGAGAATGAAGGAGCCCCTCAGATGGAAAGACAGCTAAGAAGCGTGGGTATGGGCTTCCTTCAGAGTCATTTTAAACTATTAAAAAAGTAATAGATTGAATGTGCCTTTGTCTAAGTGAAGTCTTACAAATATTTTTATATATTTACATGTTACAGAAATACTCACTCATGTGAACAAGTGTTACAGTATCCCTCGTCAGTACACTTAGAAGATGTGCAAGTGTGTTGGGTGGAGATCTGTGTAAACTCAACTACTAGCAATTTGACACAATTCCTTGTCTCTTTAATTTCCTTCTTATAACTTTAGTATACACAAGGGTCTTAGCAAATATCTTGTTTCCTGTTAAAAGATTTTATCATTCATTGAGAAATAGATGTGATGTCTACATCTTCTGAAACCTTGGGAAAAGTTAATAATTTAGAAGGTTTACTGTCTGGGGTCTGGTACAGGCTTCATGCTTACTAGGTCATATTTCTGCAGAGGTTCCTAGAGTTTCTAGAAGGTATTTATGTTCTCTTGCAGACCATCCTTCCTGCTGCTGCCCAGGATGTTTATTACCGGGATGAGATTGGTAATGTTTCCACCAGCCACCTCCTTATTTTGGATGACTCCGTGGAAATGGAAATCCGGCCTCGATTTCCTCTCTTTGGTGGGTGGAAGACACACTACATTGTTGGCTACAACCTCCCAAGCTATGAATACCTCTATAATCTGGGTGAGTGTTGAACATAGTAAGAATAGAATTGCAAAGGGCCAGCTTTTTCTTTTAACTTCTTGTAGATGTTTATTTAAAAATTTTTTTTTTTAAATCAGCTAATTAAATTCTTAGATGTAGTTCTTGAATTTCCTCTTCTCTCAATTCTTTGTGTGTGTGTGTGTGTGTGTGTGTGTGTGTCTGTGTGTCTGTGTCTGTGTCTGTGTGTGTGTGTGTGTGTACACACACGCACCACAGCACATGTGTGGCAGTCAGAGGACATTTTCTGGAGCTGGTTCTCTCCTCTTTGGTTTTTAGGTATGGAATTAAGGTTGCCAGCACTGGTAGCAAGCATCTAACTGACCCATCTCAGTACTCACAGATCTTTTATTTTTTGTGTAGTGTTGGAGACTGAACCCACATCCAAGCAAATACCACTGAAGCCCACCCAGCTCTTAATTTGGAATCATTAAAAAAATAGTAATAATAAAGTACAGGAATAAGAAAAGGTTTTAAGACCAGGCTTGGTGGTGCCCACCTTTAATCCTAGCATTTTTGAGGCAGAGACAGACTGATCTCTGTTATAAGCCAGCCTGGTCTACATAGTGTTTCTTGGTCAGCCAGGCTTCATAGTGAGACCCTGTCTCCAAAAAGAGATGAAAATTTAAAAAAAAAAAAAAAAAAGGTTATATACAAATACCCAGAGCCAATGATTATAAACATTCTATCATATTTTCTTTCTTATCTATTTGTTTATTTTTCTAGGCCAAGTTCTTTATAACTTTGGCTGTCCTTGAACTGGTTGTATAGACCAAGCTGGCCTCAAACTCACAGAGATCCACCTGCCTCTGTCTTCTGAGTACTGAGATTAAAGGCTTGTTCTTGTAGGTTTGTTTTTTTTTTAATTACCACTTGTAGATGTAACCAACTGTCTTATTAAATAAGAATCACAGAACCAATGTAAAAGAGAAAGCGAAGAGGTCAGAGCTCAGAGCTAAAATCTTACCCTTGCTCCTGTGGTGCTCCTACCTCTCCGAAAGAGACCTACTTCCTGTATGTATGTCTTTACATAGTCTTTTTGTTCTGCCTTCTCATTGGTTGTAAACCCAAACACGTGACTGCCTCGTCACTGCCTGTATATACAGCCCTCCAGGTCTTAAAGGCGTGTGTCTCCAGTGCTGGTTGTATCCCTGAACACACAGAGATCTACCTAGCTCTTCTACCAAGTGCTGGGATTAAAGGCGTGCCCCACCACCGCCACACTCTTGCTATGGCTCTAATAGCTCTGACCCCCGGGGAACTTTATTTATTAACATACAATTAAAATCTCATTTCAGTACAAATAGAATACCACCATAACCACTTACATAGTTTAAGATATTATTTGTTAAGTTTTGCCCTTATTAAGATACTGTTTCTTCGTCTCCCAATTTATACATTTCTTTCCATTTCCTTTACAATTTATTGTGGAAGAACTTGACTCTCTTGCGCTGCAGCCTGCTGCTGTCTAGACTTGCTGATTGCTCACTCAGTACAACACCCTCTGTCTTTCCTGTTTCCTGCATATTGTCAGCTGTCCCTTGTTCTGGGTGAGCTTTAGCATGACTGGAGGTGATGAGGTGCCCGTTCCTTAGAAAGCACAGTCCTGTGTCTTTGGATGCTCAGGTCCTGTGTCTCCACTGTTGGTGCTGACTTGGGCTCTCTCCAAGCTTGTCTCTTTCCTGCTGAGCCAGGCACAATATTCCTTGGGGATTCATCTGCTGACCTGCTCTGCTCTCTGGAGAAACTCTTAACTGTTGGGGGTCTTCTCTCCTTGGGCCCATCATTTGCCATGTAGCTTCCTCTTTCTCTCTCCTTCACACACACTGCTGACCTGCAGGTCTTTTAAGAAAATATGATAGAATGATTATAATCATTGGCTCTGGTTATTATGTATTGTGAGAACGTTTTTCCAGGGATTTGGAGGACTAGGCCATATCTTGCTGCCCCCTCCCCATAAGGTCCCAGTGACAAATCAAAGGTAGATTCCTTCAGTTTCCCCTGGGGAACCAGTGTTTATTAGGCTTACATACAGAGTCTAGGTGAGGGGCTACTGGCAGGAGTGTGGGTGACCTAAAGCAGCCATGCTGGAAAGTTGGCATGCTTGATAACTTCCTCATAGTTACAAATGGAGAGCTCCCATCTCCTAGCCTTCCCTAGCAATAACTATTCTAGCCCCTCCCCGAGAGGCCCTGTGGCTGACATGTGCGTTAGGGCGTACTTTTATCTGCAAATATCTGAGAGTCATACTGGATACTCAGGTGAGGGTCCCATGACCCTCCTATGAGGAGATGTCTCGAGTCCAGAAGCCCAGCTTTGGTGGGTGATGTGAACTGAAGAGGGTGCTGTGTTGTAAGTGTCTGAGGATTTTGACATTGTTTACAGTTGTTCTGTCTTTCTGTGGAGATTGGAGAAGAGCCAGAAAGCCTGCACTGTCACCCACCCCTCTCTCTCAACCCACCAGCTCTTGCCCATGAACTCTTGATAACACCTCTCCCTTTGTGTAAAAGGAGAAATCTCCTATCTTGTAGTTTCCTGTCAGCAGTCTTGTTTTCTGCTCACACCATTGCCTGTACTTGACGATTCTCAGGTGACCAGTATGCACTGAAGATGCGATTTGTGGACCATGTGTTTGATGAGCAAGTGATAGATTCTCTGACAGTGAAGATCATCTTGCCCGAGGGAGCCAAGTAAGTGACTGTTCCTTTCCTCTACACCCCGTTTCTCTGATAGTGCCCGGTATCACATGAGGGACCTGTGTTCTAGGCGTATAGTGTAGGTACTCATTAAATAGCTTTGACTGAGAAGCCTTTGGAACCTTTGACTAAAGCTAGGAAGGAAAAATTAGATTCAAAGGAGGGCACACGGTTTAGTCAGGAGGCTTTCCAAAAACATAGTGCCTCCATATGCCTGGAGCAGAAGCCAGAGTTGCCTCAATAAACCAGAGTAATGGCCTGAGTCTAATGCCAGGGAGGAAGGTGGAGGGGATTACGGAGGTGCACACCTACAATCCCAGGACTTGGAAAGTGAGCCTGGAGAATCTTGAGTTGGAGCCCAGCCTGGGCTACATTCCAGGCCAACCTGGGCTACATGTAGAAAGTGCCTATCTAATAAAAAAGAATCGGTAGACTTTGCTGTGTTAACAAAGAAAGAAGGAGTGGAGTAGCTGTGGCGCCATTCTTCCCTGGGCCTTTCTCATGGTCTGTCTGAACAAACAGGAGGAGTCATCTGTGGTCAGTTGGAGCAGCTTGGGGAAGAGATGTTGATAAAGTGAGAGTTTATCTTAAAGAGCTAGGTGTTGGGAAGGAAGGTGCGAAGGCAAGAGCTGGAGCTGTGTAACTCACTGTGAGGCTCTGGGTTCGAGCTCCAGTACTGCTGGAGTGTGTGTGTGGAGGAGAACTGCTGACTTGAGGAAGGAGCCAGGGGCCTCTGGAGGAGTCCATTTGGTAGGAGCAGATTCCTTAGTGTGAGCTGCTTATAGTTTGTGTCACAGTGTTTGAATGGTCTCTGTTGGTTCATATATCTATTCTGATGACCAGGATGACATATGCTTTGACTAGTCCATGGAGGAGGGCTTGTTCCTTCAAACTACTGTGTTACTATTCCCCTAGGGACTGTAGGCCTAGCCAGAAAGTAATAACGAGCCCTAGTTCCGAAAAAGACTTCGATTCATATGAGGAGGGAGCATTCGGAAAAGCTCCGAAGGCATTTTTTAGGTCCCTAAGAGATTCCCTGGGTGGGCTGTGCTGGGGAGCTGTGTTTACTCTGTGAACCATCCTTGTGAGTGCTGGAGGGAGACTGTCAGTCTGGTCTTTAGCTTTCTGACATTAGATGCCTATAGCAAGCAAGGTGACAGTGTGAATTCAACCTCCTGATAGCCCTTAGCCTTAGAATTCTGTAGCCCACACCCCCATTGTCGCTGTGCTTTGTTTGAGGCTGTACTGTGTCTGTGTTCCAGGAACATCCAGGTAGACAGTCCTTACGACATTAGCCGTGCCGCAGATGAGCTGCACTACACCTACCTAGACACATTCGGCCGCCCAGTGATTGTGGCCTACAAGAAAAATCTGGTTGAGCAGCACATTCAGGACATTGTGGTGAGTGGCTGTGCTGTTTTTTGTTTGTTGTTGGAGCTGCCGAAAGCAGTGGCTTTGGTCTGTGGATCTGAGCTGGTCTTTCCTGACACCTTCTTCCCGGCTCTTGCAGGTGCACTACACCTTCAACAAGGTGCTCATGCTGCAGGAGCCTCTGCTGGTCGTGGCCGCCTTCTACATTCTGTTCTTCACCGTCATCGTCTACGTCCGTCTGGACTTTTCCATCACCAAGGTACTCTGTTCTCTTCTGTCTGTGTCAGACAGTCCTTGTGCCCTTGTGATGTGTCACACACATCTCCACAGTGAGCTGGATTAGGACCTGTGGCTGTAATTCCCTACATTTTCCAGGCCTCTGCACATTCTCACTAGAGAGACATTTCTTCCCCGTGTGGTGCTGGGGGTGGAACCCAGGGCGTCAGGTGTGCCAGGTGGCCACTGAGCCTCATGTTAAGTCCCTGCTTCCTGCCTTGTCTTGGTTGTGGAAACACCCTGGACACTGGGGGAGGCAGGAGAACCATTGAATGATTGGTGGTGGTGGTTCTGCTGTTTGCTACCTGTTGTTCAGCTGAACATGGAGGTGGCATGTCCTAGTGGTCATGTCAGCAGTACCCTCTGTCCCTTCCCCTGTGGGAGTGCCTTGTGGGGAGATGGCATCAGACTTCATCAGATACTGCCGACCTGGTGCCCACCTTTTTTTCCTTGGGGTTCTGCTTGCTGACTGAAGGCCATCTTCTCTTTGTCCCTTTCCTCCCTCAGTTCCCTTCTTTCTCATTATTACCAGCAGTACTGTTTGATAAGGGATCTGGAGCCCTGTGCTGGGCACCAGAGGCACCTTGTGTGGTCTGGTTAGTGAGGCAGGAGCCAAGCAGGCCTCAGCCAGTGAGACAGGCTGTGCTTTGGGTGTGATCAGTGCTTGTCGGGTGTCACTTTGCTCTGTCCTTTAAGCAGCCCACTAGGGGGAAAACGTATAAGAAGGAACAGTGTTGCTTTTAACTCAGTCCAGTTGCCATAGGGTTCTTGCCTTTCTTCCCTCCTGCGACCAGCAGAATCCCTTTGTCTTCATTGCTGAGTCGTGTAAACACACACAGAGTGGCTTCAAAACCGCCACACTCAGACCATATGCGCTGACACAGTCCTGAAGTTACATAATTCTGTATTCATATGGAGAGCGTGGTGTTACAGTACTGTGTTCCCGGGGCACTTGGGTTAGTTCTCTTTTTCTGTTTTTATTTGAAATCTTAAGTTTGCTTATTTGTGTTTGAATTTCAGTTTGATTTCTTTTCCATCATTGCTAAGTTGGGGGAGCAGGGGAAGCCAGGTTCTCACTGTGTAGCTCTAGTTGGTTTAGACTTGCCGCTGTGTTGACCCGGCCAGCCTCAAACTCAGATCCACTTCCTTCAGCTTTCCAGGACTGCTATGATTAAAGGTGTGTGCCTTACACCAAGACATTGCTGATACTAATTTTAGTTATGAATTAATATGTTTGAAATTCAGAATTCTAAAATGGCAATTCTGCCTTGTCCTCCCTTCTTGCCTTATAGGAAATTAATTTCATCAGTCCCTGGTAGCCTCTCTTTTTTGTGGTTTTAAAAAAAATTAGGCAGATTTTTTTTTTTTAAATTCTTCTCTTATATAATATACCTCCCCCCTCCCCCCATAACCACTTCACCTCCCTTTCCCTTCAGGAAAGAGCATGCCTTCCAGGGATAGAGCCAAACATGGCATAACAAGATACAGTAAGACTAGGCACAAACTCTCATATCCAGGCTGGGCAAGGCAACCCATTAGGAAGAAAAGGGTCCCAAGACCAGGTGAAAGAGTCAGAGACACCGTCACTCCCACTGTTAGGAGACCCACAAGAGACCAAGCTAACAACCATAACATATATGCAGAGGACCTGGCTCAGACCCAGGCAGGCTCCGTGACTGCCACTTCAGTCTCTGTGAGCTCATATGAGCCCTGCTTAGTTGATTCTGTGGGCCATGTTTTCCTGGTGTCCTCGACCCCTCTGCCTCCTACATTTCTTCCTTCCCCTCTTCCTCAGGGTTTCCCAGAGCTCCAAGGGGAGGGACCTGATTGCCATCTCTAATTTGGGCTCGCTCTCAACCTAGTGTTTGGCTGTGGGTCTAGGCAGATACTTTTTATTATCTCTTCTTACTCTAACGGCAGAGACTGAATCTATTTTTTTGTACTTAGCGTTTTCCATTTGTCAAGTATATCCTGGAATTCCCCTCTGTCAGTTCACAAAGCAGTTCCTGTTATTACTTTCACATCTGCAGATGTAACACCGAATGATCAGTCCTTTACTATGTCTACATCTACCCCATGGTAAAGTTGTGGGGATTTACTATGTAAAAGTGTCACCAGACCTAAGCCAGCCTCTGAGTTGTCGGCAGGCCTTGCCAGTGGACCCACACTGAGAGGAACTAGAGAGGGTGGGGCCTCTGAGGGATGGTAAATGGAAGAAAGAGTTCACGTTCTTTCCTGAAGTTCCGAAAACCTTTGAAGGGGTGAGACGTGATAGTTCCCCAGAGTCTTCCATGACTAGAGATGAGCTCTTGCTGTGCCAGTTTCATGGCACATCTTACCATTACTGTCCTGGTCACGACCATGTACCTGTGGAACTGTAAAGTGGTGTGCGCTTTGTCTTGATGTCTCCTCCAGTCTTCGTTGTAGAGCCTGGTCCTCTGAGTGTCAGAAGGGTTTGACTCCTGGCTTCCTAAGGTGACCTTGGTTGGCTGGTGGTAGTAGGCATCCTATGACAGATAGGTCGGAGCGAGCACCACCCTGTGTTGACAGACATGGTCTCTCTCCCCTCCAGGATCCAGCTGCAGAAGCCAGGATGAAAGTGGCCTGTATCACAGAGCAGGTCTTAACCCTGGTCAACAAGAGGTTAGGCCTCTACCGTCACTTTGATGAGACCATCAATAGATACAAGCAGTCCCGGGACGCCTCCACTCTCAATAGTGGCAAGAAGAGCCTGGAGACAGAGCACAAAGCTGTGACCAGTGAGATTGCTGTGCTGCAGTCCAGGCTAAAGACAGAAGGCTCTGACCTGTGTGACAGAGTAAGTATTAGTGCTGTGAGTCACTGTCTGTGGCCCTCCACTTGAGGGACTCTTTCCACTTGTCAAAAGAGCACCCATCCTCCTCCTTGGGGTGAGCTAGGCTCTAGGTGGTTCTCTCATACTCACATGTGCAGGACCTCGACTCTTCAAGTGGTGCCAGTACTTGTGGTAGGACACGAAACTGTGGTATCTGTAGGCTGGCTTTGGAGAAGTTCTGCAGCTTCTCCAGCTCTGTGTCCATGGGGTTGGCAGTAAGGGCAGTATTCCCCTCTCCAGATGCCATCTTCCGCTCCAGATGGCCATGCCTGTAACCCCAGCACTCTGGAAATGCATTTGTAAGTGTAGGGGCATGTATTTCCAGATGAAATCCTGATGCTAGGCTACATAATGAGTTCAAGGTGAGTCCTGGCCAGAGGGCGAGACTCAAAAAAGGTGTCAGGGAAGGGGAGGTGCGGAGGCACTCAAACGTAAATCCCAGGCTCTGATCCAGACTATCTAAACTTGGGCACATTACCTCATTTTTGTGTCTGAGCGTCCTTATAGATAATGGGAAGCCAGTAGTCTTTCACAGTACCTGAAAGGTGGTTCGTGTCAGTCATGTCCTGTGGGAGCCAGCTATTATTATCTGTAAAGGAAGTACGACCTACTTTAAAAAGTGCCCTCAGAGTTCTTAGGCTCCTGTCAGCTCCTCCACCTCCACCCTGGATCTCTTACTAACCCTTCAGTTCCTTTGCAGCACGGCTGTGAAACAGTTCTTCATGTGCTTACCTGGGTTTTGTGTGTCAGCTCTTTGAAGGCAGGACACCTTATCTGTCCTTACTGCTTCTGGAGCCTGGCACACAGGTGACAGTGGATGTGGTCTGGTCTGGCTGTCACCTTCCACATCACCTGTTGGTCTTTGTCCTAACTAATCTCTGGTCCCAGTAGAGAGAGAGGACACTCATGGAGCCTGTGTGCTAGTCATGATGTTGGGGTGTAGGCAGAGTCTTTCATCAGGACTGTGATCAGCTCTGTTCCACCAGCAGCTTCCCAGATAACCACTTACAGACTTAATATTAATTATAAATGTTCAGCTGATAGCTCAGGCTTATTGCTAACTAGCTCTTACAACTTAAATTAACCCATATTCACATTCTGCCATGTGGCGTTACCTCTCTTTTGTCTTGCATCTCCTGTTCCCTCTCCATGTCTGGTGACTCCTCTGACTCTGCCCTTCTTCTTCCCAATGTCCTTAGTCTGGTTCTCTCGCCTAACCTTATCCCGACCAGCTGTTGGCCAGTCAGCTTCTTTATTAAACCAGTCACAGCAACATATATTCACATGGTGTAGAGGAATATTCCACACTGGGGTCCTGTGGTTTTCACTCTCAGTTGTTAGGGTGGAAAGCACCTTGCTTGTCAGAGCTGAAAAGAACATGGCCTGTAGGTAGTGAAGCTGCTGTCTGGAACCAGGCTTGTTTTCTTGCATGCCAGCCCTCTGCCATTGGCACTGCTCTATGCTGAATTTTTGACTTCTGTGGACCTCTGGATCTGTAGGCCTGGGAGCCGATGGGGCTTGTTGAGTGGGGTGAGAGGGCACTTTTCAAACCCTTCCCTGATCTTGTCTCTGCCAGGTGAGTGAAATGCAAAAGCTGGATGCACAGGTCAAGGAACTGGTACTGAAGTCGGCAATGGAGGCCGAGAGGCTGGTGGCTGGCAAGCTCAAGAAGGATACGTACCTCGAGAATGAAAAGCTCAGCTCAGGAAAACGTCAGGAGCTGGTCACCAAGATCGATCACATCCTGGACGCTCTGTAGCTCTTGTCTCCGGGATAGGCCTAGGTCGCCTACACTTGAGATGCAGTGCACAGGGAGAGGGAGGAGGTGGTGATTAGCAAAAGGCCTCCAGAAAGAAAAGAAAGCCAAGGCCCGCCCACAGTGGTCTGGGAAGCCTGTCCCTTATTTCTGTATGGTTCCCTTTTTTAAAAAAACAAAACAAACAAAAACCTAAACAAAAATCTTATATAGAAACAAATATGGCTGTGTCTTGAACAAAGGCATTTTCAGTAGTTGGTTTGATTTGTTCTGATGCCTGGGGTATTTTTTCCACCTTAAGTCCTGTTTTAAACTTTTCTAACTCCTAACGTTTGGCCTTTTGTGAGTGTATGCATGGTTTTTTTTAAAGTGTGTATGACCAAATGAAAATAAAGGAGGGACTGTGAAAATTTGCTTTTACTGTACTGAAATCTCTCATGTAATTCTGAAGTTTGGGGATAATACTTTGTTTGTTTGAGACAAGGCTTCTCTGTATAACAGCCCTGGCTGTCCTGGAACTCGCTGTGTACCCAGGCTGGCCTCAAACTCACAGAGAGCTGCCTGCTTCTGCCTCTCAAGTGCTGGGTTAAAGTGTCACCACGTCTGGCCAGTAGATAATACTTTTGTCGCTGTGAGTTTTCTCAGAGTAATTACAAGGCAAGTATCAGAACATTGATGTTTTCTAATACAAGCTGAGAGACCCAGAGAGTCACAGAGCAGTGGTGAAGTAATCCTTTTGTATTCCTTAAGTCTGTGTCACACATTCTAAGCATTGAAAAAGGGTGATGAGCAGAGCAGAGGTGGTTCGTGGGGGTACCCCACAAATTCATGATCTCAAATTGACCACACCGAGGAAGGGCACAGGCCTGGAGAACACGAACAGGGCTTAGACTGGGAATGTTTAGGAGGGGGTGGTCTAGAGCTGAGGCTTAAGAATGGAACAGATGACAGGGTGGAGCGTTCCAGGCGGTGGCCAGTGTGTGTGGAAGGCCCTGGTGAGGCTGGTGTTTGAGGACCCACAGGGAGTCTGTAGAAGAGAGTGGATGATGTCTGACGGGGTGCAGAGGTGGAGGTCCAGAACAAGATAGTTTGATAGGTCTGTCATGGCTTTGGCTTTACCTTAACATCAGGATTGACAGCTAGGAAGCCCGCATGGGACCGAACTAGGCCCTCTGAATGTGGGTGACAGTTGCATGGCTTGATGTGTTTGTGGGTCCCCTGGCAATGGGACCAGGACTTACCTGGGTACACAAACTGGCTTTTTAGAGCCCATTCCATATGGTGCAAAACCTTACTCAGTCTTGATGCAGGAGGGAGGGGCTGGGTCTGGCCCCGACATGGTACAACAGAGGAGGGAAGGGGTGGGATGGGGTAGGTGGGGTGAGTGGGAGACGAGGAGGGGTTGGTGTGTAAAAGGAAAGAAAAAAATTTAAATAAAAAATTATATATAAAACAAAACTAAAAAACATCAGGATTGACTGCTCACTGTGGGAGTTGGGCCAGTAGACTTTGGAATGAGAAAGCCAAGATCATACTGTAGTCATAGATGGGGGCAGAGTGGGTTTTGGTGCTTCAGTGGGTGCTGTGAAGTGTCTGCTTGGGGTACAGCCCCATCTTCGCCTAGTCCTCCTCCCTCAGATAGCACGCAGCGGTCAGGAGGTGTTACCCGACTAAGTCAGGCCCTCGTGTTTCTCACATCATAATCTACTGTTGTCAAGTGACCACTGGACTGGCAGGCAGACGGGCGTTTGTTGACAAGCTCACCTTTGTGTTAACAGGTGTGCACTCAGTTGTAGGCGGTTACTGGGCGGCTGGCTATGTACTTCTTTTTGTTTTTGTTTTTTCAAGACAGGGTTTCTCTTTGTTGTTTTGGTGCCTGTCCTAGATCTCGCTCTGTAGACCAGGCTGGCCTCGAACTCACAGAGATCCGCCTGGCTCTGCCTCCTGAGTGCTAGGATTAAAGGGGCTATGTACTTCTTAAATTGGTGTGTGAATTGATGTGATAGTACTATCCACTGAGCACAGAGAACCATGGACCAGTTTTGATGAACTGGTGGGGTTTTGTTTCAGATACAGCAAGGTGCCTGAGAGCTCCAAATAGGGTGCCACAGGCAGTTTAGGACCTGACAAGGAGAGATGTGGTTTGGGATGACGAATGGTTTGTCCAGCACAGAGCTGGTTAGGGAAATGGGCTGGAGGTTGTGGTGGGTGGGAGCGCCTAGGAAGAATATAGAATTAGAAGAGACCAGCCCGTGTGGCGCACACCTTTAATCCCAGCACTCCGGAGGCAGAGGCAGGAGGATCTCTGAATTTGAGGCCAGCCTGGTCTACAGTGAGTTTCAGGACAGCCAGGGCTACACAGAAAAACCCTGTCTCAACAACACACACATAGGGCCTGTGTGGCAGTCTGTGTCTGTAGTGCCTGCTGTCTAGAAGTCTGAGGCAGGAGGGTCACTTGATTTGTTTTTTTGTTTGTTTTTCGAGACAGGGTTTCTCTGTATAGCTCTGGCTGTCCTGGAACTCACTCTGTAGCCCAGGCAGGCCCAGGAGGATCACTTGAGCAAAGAAATTTGAGATGAATTGGAGCAATGTGGTGAGACCATCTTTTTGTTTTCCAATTAAAGCATTTATTGAATCTATTTTTAATATCTGCAAGCCAACAGTGAGCTCACTTTATTAAAGAATGAACACAACGTACAAAAAAGTATGCTTATATTATAAAAATACGTCCATCTTCTGGTGCTGAGTAGAAGTTATTGAAACAAAATCAAGACGAGACCATCTTAACACCAATAAAGAGATTCCCAAGAATCTGCATCCTGAGACAGTGCCACTTGGATGGACATTTAACAGGGAGGGAAGAGAGACCAGGGAAGGAAGGCAAGTGAAAAGATACAAGATGAGCCAGAGCTGGGAACCAGTGAGCACTGCATCCAGGTCAAGACAGGAGGCCAGCAATGCCTGGGATTTAGGAGTGGGCCAGGACAGCTATTTGCTGTTGAGTTGGGTACAGAGATCTGCTGTGAAACTTCCGAGTGTGCTGGGTGTGGTGGCTGGTGCAGGACTGTGATCTCAGAACTCGGGAGGTGGGCGATGGTGTTCTGGCCTTTAAGGTCAGCCTGGGCTGCATAAGATCCAGCCTCACAAACAACAAAAGGGGAGAGAACAGGTGTGTGGTGTGTTTAAGAAGGGAGGTCAGAAGACCTAAGGGCAGTGAAATCCAGTCCTGCCTCTCTGGCCTTGGACAAGGCTCTCTTTAAGATGGGGCAGCCTGCTCATAGGTTGACATGGCTTGAGGCACTAGAGCTGGTTCTCTTGGGTGCCGGTCCTAGGAGGAGCTGGAGCTGGAGCCGGTGTCAAGGTGATGCTCGCTCTGGGAACTGCCTGTTGTGCAGGTGCCCAGCGCAGCACCAGGCCCGCTGAAGCCCAGGCCTCTGTCTTTTCTTAGTATTTTGGAGCCTTCTGGGAAACATCAAGCCATGCCCGATCTTGGTTTTTGGAACGTGCGCCAGTCGCCCCCTAGTGGACCCCGGGCAGAAAGGGCCACGTTTGCTTACTGGCATCACTTCAAATGCTGGGGAGAGGAGGGTGCCAAGACTGGGATGAGCAGGCGCAGCTGGTGGCCAGCTTCGAACAACGTGGCGCATGCGTGCACTGCTCCTGATTTAAAGGCCTGGTTCTGTGCGGCCTTGCTCAAAGCCACCTGGCCAAGGGCTCCAGTATTACTGCCTCTGGGGTTTATGTAGCCCTGCTTCAGGAAGCCGGAGGGCGGAGGACATGGGTTTGCAGGTGGCCCAGCAGTGATGTTCCGGAATCCCTGGGCTGGTACAGCAGGTGCAGCTTGTTCTCTGCTGTCTCCGTCCTCCTGGCTGCCCTGGAGCCAAGAACCTCAGGCCATCACATCCCCGAGCCTACCTGCACCCTGGTTCCCCCAGTAGCAGGCAAAGCCTCAATTTCTCTCTTGGGAATCCGAGTGGAAGGGAAACCTGGCCCCACATCTCACCAGGTTTGGACCCCTGGGCAATGCACAGCCTCACTTTGTGTCCAGGCATGGCAGGTGGCCCAGAAACCAGGCTGCCACCTCAGCCCACGTGTCCCAAGGCCCCATGGCAGGTGGGCCCAGCCCTGGGTAACCCTGTCTTGGCTCAGAGCACAGCAGAGGTCTGCGGGTTCTGAGCTGCCTCCATTTGTCTTGGCGGCTGACATGGAGAAAACCCCGAAGGCCCAGTCGCCCTCACAGTTTCACCACAAGTATCCTGACCGGGTGTCTGGTGCCGGGCTGATAGTGCAGGCCCTGGCCGCAGCCTGCCGGAAACCGCGCTGCCAGCGGTTAGGGGCCACAGGCTGGGACAGGAAGCGCCCCGGTGCACCAGGGGGCCTCTGCAGACCTGCACTGAGACCAGGCTGCCGCCATGTTGAAGGTAGACTCCCCGGGCTTGGCAGGTTGCTGCTCTGTTCACCAGGCTGGGGAGGTGACAGTCGGAACAGTTGGCCTCCAGTCCTCTGGCCCTGGTCCAAGGGTCAGGAGCCCCTACCGCTCCATGGCCAGGCCCTTCATCGTGTCACGTTCCAGCCCTCAGCTTACACGTGACCTGTGACTGGTGTAGACCTAAATAAACCAGGGAGCACAAAGGGTAGTTAGTACTCGGATGAGGAAAGACCATCGACAGCTTAGAGAATTCCGAGGGAAGCATTCTCATGTGGTGATGTGGCGAGGGAGAGAAGCGCAGATTCCAGTCCCTTCTTTTGACTTCCGCTCTCGATGTGGAACCCAGAAGGGTTCCTTTTAAAATGGATGTCTAAGTCTTCTTGAGCAGCTATCACGAAACACTGCCTGGGTGGCCTATAAACAAGACTTGGCCGCCATAGTTCTGGAGAAGGCTGGGAGGGAGGTGTGGGCATGTGGGTGTGGTGGGCTTCTCACGGAGTCCTCCATGTTGGAGCAGTTAGGAGGAACCTCTCAGGGACATTGTTTATCAGGTCACTCATCTCACTGATGAGTTTTCTTCCATGCCCTAATCACCTCACACGTGCCCCCATTTGGGATTAGGCCAGCATGAATTTGGGGGCACACTAGTGGGTGAGGAGGAGGAGGTAATAGGGAGGGAGAGCTGTTAGATCCAGGAGAAAACTGTCGAAGGCAGTCGAAAGAGCAGGGTGGGTGGGAATGTGAAAGGATGCTGCCAACCAGCACCTACGGCTAGGCACACCCCACCCCACCCCCAGCTTTGGCATTGCCCTCTGAAGTGAAGGGATGGCAGCATTCCTCACTTCTGCCCTCTACTCAATTCTTCGCTTTGTGTCAGGCACTGTCTTAGGCACCAAGTCTCTGTTGCTAAGGAGGACCCAGCCTCCTGTGACTTGGAGAGGAATCAGACACTACAGAGTGAATCATTGCAGGCGGTGACAG